AACATGTTTTGAATTAAGATGGAAGGTTCTAGTGCACGGTAAATAAAGCAAGTTTTGAAGAACTTGGATTTGGTTCAAAATATCATTAAATTGGAATAAAATTTTGGGACGAGCAGATTAGGGGGTTCGCTGTTGCCAGAGAGGAAAATATTAAAAATGATTGCATATACGACTCACCTATCAGGAGCGTGTGCCTTGATATAGCTCTTAAGATGCTTTATGACTTCAGCGGACTTGACGAACGATATGGCAATAAAATCAACACCTTCAGCAATCCCAAAATCAATGTCCAACCAATCCTGAGGAAAGATGCCAAACAGTAAGGGTGTTGATGGAATACAAATTTATTTAAAATAGGCCAGATCTAGAATGGCATGATCGAGGTGATCCTCAGCCACTTTAAAACAATATTCTATTCTTTAACACCAGTAGGTTGGATCAACGCCTTCCTACAGATTCCTGCATTTCCCAAAATGACACTGCAGTCTATATTCACCGAAACAAGTTTTATGTGCCTTTTCCATATTCGTATATTCCATTTCAACAAATCTACATAATGGAAGAAAGAAAACAGTATCCATATTTAAGAGCTCAAACACTGTGTCAAACATCAATATTGGTTATTTTAAAGGCATGCCATTCCCCAGCTATTTGAACAGATTAACAATGACACATCAAGAAATATGCTCTATTATTCTAAAATCTAGTTTACGCCCCAAGGTCACTCTGTCAACCTAAATGAAAGAATCTGATTCTAACCCATAACATTACTTTAACCAATAATCTATTATTTTCTCTTTTCTTAAATTACATTCCAAGGCAAACATCTGCATTCTTTAAACACAGGTGTCACTCAAATAAAGAAAAAAAAAAAGTTTCTTCCACATGTCCCAAGAGGCCAATCCATAGATAGCCACAAGGAACATGCTAAACTAACAAGAATTTTCACCAATCATTTTGAAACACCTTGAATATTAAATAAATGCATTTATAAGGGTCCAGAAGTCCTATCTGAAAAGAAACGGAAAAAAGAAAAGAAGTGACTACCGTATACAACAACAACAAGCCGTTAAAATCCCACTACGTGGGGTCGGCTATATCAGAAAGGAAATTAGAGAGAAACGGCAAACAATATAATATATATAGATATGCGCGCGTGTGTGCGTGTGTGTGCATCGAAGTTATTCCACAGATACTGGGTTTATTAAAATAAGACAAAATCCAAAAGCACAGTCTTTGGCTTTTGATATCGGACAATCTCATTTAAATTATATATTGATATACCACTACATTCCGTTTGCTACATAATATAGACAAAGTCGCACAGGCAGTCAAAGTATCAAGGCCTGATTGGTTATAAATTATTTGGTTATAATTTTTTAACTCAAAATCTAACTCAAATTTAACTCAACTCAAACCCTCCTCAATATTATCAAGATAACTAAATCATATTATCAATCATCCTCCACATCACATCAACTTTAATTCACTATTCATTTACTCACATAATTTTAACTACCCATCACTTCTCTCCTACTTTTAAATCAAATCAACTTTAATCATTATATTTTAAATATTATGTTAACATAAACTCAAAATTCCACCCAAATCTAACCCAATCAACTTTTTCAAAATTGACTCTAGTTATCCAATAAATCCAATCATATCCCAAGTGTTCCCCAAAGAATGAAGCCTAATAATATGACAAGTTGCCCAAGTATAAGGTAAGTGAAACTACTATTTCAATAAAAATTAACCGAAAGATAGCCACAAACCTTAGAAGATATCGTGGGTAGCATAGCATTACGTTCACGCACCAGGCTCCCATCACGCCAGAATGTCAGATTAGCCCGGGGTAATAGAAGCCCAGGGTCAGTACAAAGACACTTGACATCTGGACCAATTTTCTCAATCACTTCAAACCTCACCATTCCACCATCTACGAGAAGCTCATCTCCAATTTCTACATCTGTCTCATTAGAATTGCATAGTTTCGTTAGCAAAGTAAAACCATGCAAAATATGGTCAATAACGATGACTGCAAAGGCTAATTGGGTATAACTTCATTTCAAAAATGTTCTTCTAACCTTCGGCAAAGCCACCATAGTTCACATTAATAGTGCGCTCTGGAAGAGCCGAATCGAAAGCTCTAACACTGAAAGTCCAGATTTCACCATCCTG